AATCCTTAAAAAAAAAAATTATGTGAAGCCAATTTGCAAATCTGGGTGACAGGTCCACAGATAGTCATTGTATTATTTTCTGCACTTAAAATTTTTTGCCAGTCTGGTGGGTGTGACCTGATCTCACTGTATTTTGCATTTCCCTGATGACCTGTGAATTGAGTGGTTTCCATATGTTCCTTGTGTATTGCTGGTTCCCATTTTTCCTAAGAGTGTTAACAAGGGAAGGAGAAATGAGGAATTTCCCTACAAGATGAAGTGCGTGTTGCCGTGAAGAGAAGCCCGGGTGGAGGAGGCCTCAGGCAGGTGGTTCTGCAGGTGTGAAGCCAGGGCAAGCGGGCTGGGCTGGGGATGTGTGGTGGGACCTCACGCTGAGCAGAGAAGGGTCCTGGGAGGAATGATACCTGGTCTGTGGCGGGGGAGGCGGGGGCGTCGAGGGGAGAAGTCAAGAGAGGTGAGAGTTTCTGGAGGGAAGCGAGGTGAACAGCGCTGTGTGTGGCACGGAGATGCCCGGTGGGATGGGGGCTAAAGGGAGCAGTCAGGTTGCCACGTGGCCATCTTGAGCGGCTTTGGCAAAGGCAGTGTGTGGTTCGTGGGGACAGAAGCCCCTGAAAGAGGAGGCACAGGAGGTGTATATGACACTTCCAAGGAGGCTGCCCAGGAAGGGGAGGAGAGAGATGGGGCTGAATCCTGAGGACGGCGAGGGGCAGGCCGAGGGGGAGGAGACTCTAAGGGCAGCCCCAAGCAGGTGCCACGTGTCCCTGGGGCCTCTACTGCTCTGGACTGTGTGCACGCGCAGGAAGCCCTGCTCTCAGCCTCCCTGCCAGGGCCTCGGCCTGCTGGGGCGAGGACATGCCTTCCATTCTAAATGCTCACAGGACAGCCTTAGTGTCACCAGCAGCAGCGGAAATAATAGCGATGGCCCCCATCATTTATTGTTTCTTTTTAATGTGCAGGCACTATGCTAATTTTTAAATATGTTACCCATTTTGTCCCCCTGAATTTTATGGGGTAAAAACTGCTGTTATCATCCCTATTTCACAGCGGAGAATCGCTAGGCTTGCAGAGGCGGAACAGGACACTGGGAAGTGGCAGAGCCGGTCCCAGCTCCAGGTAACTGCCTCTGGAGCCCATGAAGAAATGACCTCAGTGCAGGCCAAAGACAGGATGGTCTCCTGCAGGAGGAGAGCTGCGGGCGGGCCTGGCTGCAGCGGGGTGGCCAGACGGAGGTGCAGGGGCAGAAATCGCTGTGGCCTGAGGAGCGATGGGGGCAGGCGCTCAGGCGGGGCCGCTCAGAAGTGACCGTCGATGCCCAGGCGCCTTCCTTCCTGCCCCCAGGTACTGCACAGTCATTCTCCTGCTGCTCCAGGAGTCACAGCTCTGGGCTTGTTTCCTTAACCTCTGCCTCCAAAGGCATAAACACTGGCTCCCTGCCGCCTGCAACGTCGACATGCAGAAGCCCTTTGTGATGTGGTTCTTCACCTCTTCTGCCTCATCTCCCTCCTTCCTCCACCCCATCTGTGACCACCCTTGGCTGGCTGCTGGGGAGGACTTGACAGCCCCCCGAGCAGAAGTGCTGCTCCTCCTCTCACTGGCCTGTTCCCACTGCTGCCCTGCCGGCATCCAGCTGGCCACCTCCCCGCTGGGCTCGCCTGAGCCCTCCAGCTACACCCTGTGCTTTTCTCTCCGGGACTTGCAGTGCCCGGCACACGGTAGGGGCCCGAGAGTGAGGGCATCTCATGCATCGTGCCAGAGGAGCCAGCATCAGACTTGAACCTCGCTGCCTAGTCAGACGCTACACTATTTTTGGTGTTGGTATTGATCAGGAAGATGGTTTAAAGGTGGGGCGGGGGGCATTTATTCAAGAAAGGATAGCGTTGCCCGCGTGTCTGAGGCTCCCAGGAAACAGTACCTGGTAAGCCTGTGAAACTGAGCACATAGGAGTCTTTCGGAGTTAAATTTGGAATTGGGACGAGGTAGGAAAAATCTATGCCCACTGAGTACAAAAAGCAATTGTCTGTCAGTGCAGGAACTGAAGTATCAGCCGCAAATTATATTTAAGACCCCGTTGTCACAGGCGGATTAGCTCATGCTTGATGTTAAGTATAGGCTTCTAACGCTATTACTCCTGGTTAGCTCTGCCTGGCAGGTAACCTTGTGGAACAAATGACTGCATCGCTTGAATAACATATTTGATCAAACAGGACAATTCTTTCAAAAATTGAGTTCTCTGTGGCAATTTGAGACCTGTAATCAGCAAATTAGATGATTACAGCAGGGATAAAAATAGTCTTCCAACAATGTCCAAGGTATAAATGTGATTTGAATTTCAAAATGTTGAATGTGTGGTAGGAACACGCACGGCTGGGTAAATGTGACTAGACACGAGCGGATTTGATTTCTCTTCCATCCCGGCTCTGAGCTGGAGCCTGATTTGGCCCGAATAAGCTCCAATCCCGTTTGTGTCTGAGCTAGAGCCTAGACGTGTCTCGCGCTGCGCTCCAGGTCTGAGAGGGCTCCCCAGCATTACTTCTCTGCCTCAGGAGCTAAAGGCAGCGTGAACCCCAGCTTTGTTTATCATCCACTTGGCATGAAACGGCCTCCACAAACAATAAGGCGTCCAAGTTCCACACGAGGAAGACAGCGTCAGAAAACCCTCTGCACCACCACTGAAGACCAGTGTTCTTCCTCAGGCATGGGGACAGGGACACCAGAGCAACTCTGGTGAGGTCCCGCAAGTGAAGGGTGAGCTGGGTGTGACAGGAGGATGTGGTGTGCTCGACCACAATCCCGTCAGCCTTCAGGGTTGCTCGATGAGGTACTGTTTCTGCACCTCCGACGCAAGAAGTTAGACTAAGGGCACACATCCCCTCCCTCCTCCGTCCTTCCGGCTGACGCATCTCTGCCTCAGAGCGTTTGTTCCCCCAGGTGGACCACAGCTGCCATCCTCACCCCTGGTGCCTGTTTGGTATTACCCAGCCTCAGCTGGTCTTAGCTGAATTGAGAACAAAAATGCCTTGGCAAATGGGTACACAGCGAGGGGCCACTGATGTACCCACTGCTGGCAGATGGGGAAGCTCCCTTAAGAAGGGAAGCTTGCTTGTCCTTGCTAGTGGCTCTTAGGGTTTCTGGCTGAGCCACAGAAAATACTGATCACCGTGGACTCCAGTGACCCACCGGGACTGCTCCTTCCCATGAGTGCAGATGATAGGAGCCGCCTGTGGCAAGCAGCCCGCGATTTTACAGAGAGGCGCTCACTTCAGCATGGTCATAACATTCTGCTCCAGCATGGCTTGCCAAACAACCCACAAATTAGCATCTACCCCCAACATGCTTTCAGACCAGTGTTACCCCACATTTATCAAGCTCTCAAACTTATAATACGACTTTGAAAATAGAAATGTTTCAGTGCCATATTTTTGCATAGAAAATGCCAAATGTAGACTAACCGCTTTTTAGGATTTTTCCAACAAGTCACTTGCAAATGATCGCCATTTAAAATTCACTGCATAGGGGCAGGGCTGGTAGTGCAGCAGTTAAGTGTGCACGTTCCACTTCGGCGGCCCGGGGTTCGCCGGTTCGGATCCCGGGTGCGGACATGGCACAGCTTGGCAAGCCATGCTGTGGTAGGTGTCCCACATATAAAGTGGAGGAAGATGGGCACGGATGTTAGCTCAGGGCCAGTCTTCCTCAGCAAAAAGGGGAGGATTGGCAGCAGTTAGCTCAGGGCTAATTTCCTCAAAAATAAATTAAAAAAATAAACAAATAAAATTCACCGCATTGTAGAGCAAGAGCATCTCTTCCTGAGACGCTAGGAGCACCATCTGATTAAACACCATCACATGTGGCTCTATAATGTATTGATTAGGGAAAGCGTATTAAAACTTGCCAGAACTGTAATGCCACAACGTGAAAAAGTAGGGTCTCTCTCCAACTTGATATACATATGGTACAGATGTCAAATGGCTGTTTTTCTTCCTGCTTCAGATTTTGCAAAACACGGTAAAATATCAAGCTGAAAATAAGTGGTATTTATTTGCTCATTGACCCTCCCTCTTATGAACCCATACACAGGCCAGAGCATCGTGAGAAAGTGAAACGGAAGATTTAACAAGGCCGCCACCTCGAGGATGCTCAACACAATGCAAGATGAACTGGACACACGCAGCCTTCAAGTGGCTAGTGACCTCCTCCACTAGGAAGGCACCTGGGATTCCATCAAGGGTCAGGGAACAGACCGTGTACCGGCATCATGGCCTTGAGCTACGTATACTTTGCATTTTCTTCTTCCAAGTATAGTTTTAGGCTGCCATGCTATGTTAACAAGTTCTTCAAACAAAAATCTTCAGGTTAAGATTTGGGTAAGGATTGGGGCTGGCTCCGTGGCCGAGTGGTTAAGTTCACGCGCTCCGCTGAGGCGGCCCAGGGTTTGGATCCTGGGCGCGGACATGGCACCGCTCGTCAGGCCACGTTGAGGCGGCGTCCCACATCCCACAACTAGAAGGACCTGCAACTAAGATATACAACTATGTACGGGGGGGGGTTTGGGGAGATAAAGCAGGAAAAAAAGATTGGCAACAGTTGTTAGCCCAGGTGCCAATCTTTAAAAAAAAAAAAAATTGGGGTAAGGATGAAAAGAATATTAACACTAATTACAGAGTTTTTTATGACCTTTGACTTGTCCTCAGAAAGAAATTCTACCTAAAAATCCTCTTGGATGCAGACGTGAGTTCACCACCACTGCCATCGCCAGCCAGGGAGCCCGAACTGAGTGGCCACTGCGCAGGGCATTGTGGGAGAAATGCCAAACGAAGCCTCATTCCCAGCTCAGGGGCCCTCAGGAGGCATGCAAGGACGCAGCTGAAGCTCATTTCCAAAGCTTTTTTTTTAAATGTATTTGCTTGAAAGGGTTGAGCTTCAAAAAGCATGAAGTTAAAAAAGAGAGCTTGAGATAGCCACTTTCAAAGCTGACTTCTACCTTAAATACCAGACACAGCTCATAAAACCAGCTGTCTCAAAGACAGTGTTATCTTTATTAAAAAACGGATAGACGTAGCAGCACTTACAAACAATAGTTCATAAAAGGCGTTGTACGTAGTCAACTGATAGTGTGAAAGGGCAGGCACCAGCACAGCTGATCGCGGGCTCCGCATCATGACGTCACAGCCACCTGCTCCACTTAAAACGACACAACCCAGAACACCCAACCACCAGCACCCACCAGCACCATGGCCTCCTCAACTTCAAGCCTTTGCTGTTTGTGTGAACGGTCAATCGAGTCAAGCATCAGCCTCCATAGCAGCATCTGGAGCACCCGCTGGGGATCTGGAGGTGGCTGGTGTCCTTGACCCACTCATTAAAAAATCTACGCACTCAATAAAAACACTTCCCCCGTCCGACGCCGTCCACGGAAACGCTTCTGCTGCCGAAGAGAAAAGCCCTTCCACGTAAATATCTGTAAAAGCTGATGCTCGAAGACAGGCGAGAGCTTGGCGCAGGCGCTTCCGCACCACTGTCTTTGGTGGAGGATGCGGCTGTGGTCACACCGTCCCCTGCCCACTGCTCTGCTTCTTACTGCTCTGTGGGGGGGTGAGGACCCCCGTGGGGGGAGGAGAAATCCTATTTTGTTCAGACAATATGGCTTTCTTTGCTTGGGCTTTGTCCTGTTGACAAGAAGAAAAGCGAGGAATATTAAAATGGAAGAACATATGCTCTGGGCTGCACTTACTGAGTGCTTTGTTCCTATGGAGGTGAAGAAGGGGGAAAAATAGCCAAGAACAATCTAAAAGTCTCCGGTCTACACAATAATTAGACACAACATCTATTGACCATAATTTTTCTTTTTCAAGGAACTGGAGTCTTTCTCGGCTATCTGGAGCCGGCCCGAAGGACAGTGAAGAGGCCACGCAGGCAGTCTGCGGAATCCCACGGCAAACAAGAAACAGCACTGACCAGCAAATCCAAGCTGTTGAGGTGGGTCTGGATGTTGTGTGCGTCTTCGGCAGGCACGCCCCGGAAGTGCTTCAGTTTGGAACTTCCCGTCTCCCTTATCACCATGGCAAATGGGACCATCCACTTGACACATTTCTCTATGTCGCACCACTGGTACCCTGCAGTGAAGGCAATCGTAGGCTCACTCTGAGGCCAACAATCGGTTCCCACGTCTTGTGCACCTTGTGAAGGCCCCGGAGAGCTGACCTACCAGAAACCCTTTGCATCAATTCAGATGAAGAGAAATGATACAAGGCAGAAGCAGCGAGCACACCATAGGAGAACTCAAGGCAGCCGACATCCAGAACACAGAGATCTAAAAGCTGTGGAGAAGAACAGAACACTGGAATGGCGGCCGCCACCCGCTCCCAGGGTGACTCAATCTAGCGGCGGGGCAGGCACCCCAGGAGAAGACGGAGCCACTCACCTCTGCGATCTGTATGAAGACCTGCTGGGGGTACTGTGGGAGCAGCACTTCGTACAAGTCGTTCAGATATGCGACCTGCATGTACACGTTCAGCCAGGACACGATGGTCAGGGGGCTCAGCCGCCACTTGAGCGCCTACGGGAGAACAGAGAAAACAGACCAGTGGTTGAAGGCAGAAAAAGGCATATCTGCTCCCCTCTGTCCTCCACTGGATTTCAAAATGCAGCCGTGCTCCAGGCCACAGCGTGTGCGGCTGGAGACAGCGCGCCCGGCGCACCCGCACTCAGCGGGGGAAGGCACTGTGCCACGTGAGCAGCAGCAGCCGGCCTGGAACATACCTTCATAATGATCAGCTCCATGGTGAGAATCTCGGCTCCTGAGCAGGCCCCGTCCGTAACATAAGCAAACTGGTGCAACTTTGGAGGATAGATTTCCTAAAAGGAAACAAAAGGAAGATGCTACTAGCAAAAACGAGTCTGCAATAGCTTTAACTGATAATGGACATCCAAAGTTACTCTTCATAGTATGTTGGCATGGAAGGAAAGGGAGAGGGTACACCGATGGGACATAGACAGGAGCTGCTCCAGTGGTTCAAAAGGTGTAATCGTGAAAAGAAATGAAACAGCCACCCCACAATACATACATAAATACGTTGAATAAAAAAGTCATAAAATCTTTACTCATTGGGGATGTTTTTGACATTTTCATCTTTTCAATTCATTTAGCAACAGGTTTGAAAGTTGGGTCCATCCACCCTTCTAATCACACCAAAATTTTAATCCTTTTAGGTCAAAGTTCAGTTTCTTTGCTTAAAGTAACTACATTAATCTAAGCGTTTTATACACTCACTACCTCTCTTGCTTGGTTAACTTCTACCCTTTTTTGCATGTGTCTTAACTTTGGAGGCCTCAAGTTAGAAAAATTTAGAATATGTATTATAGACAAAGAGTTGACCTCTTCCCCTAATCTCACTGAAGCTCAAGAAACAACATGCGTTGGGGCCGGCCCAGTGGTCGAGCAGTTAAGTTCACACGTTCCGCTTTGCCGGCCTGGCGTTCACCGATTCAGATCCCGGGTGCGGACCTACGCACCGCTTGTCGAGCCATGCTGTGGCAGGTGTCCCACATATAAAGTAGAGGAAGATGGGCATGGATGTTAGCTCAGGGCCAGTCTGCCTCAGCAAAAAAAAAAAACCAAAAAACCAGAGGAGGATTGGCAGCAGATGTTAGCACAGGGCTAATCTTCCTCAAAAAAGAAAAAGGAAACAGCACGTGCTACATAACAAATATTTGAAAATTATTTACCTCAAGTTTGGCAGCAATAAATAAAGATGAAATCCCAATAAGCTGTAGAAGTGTTTTTACAACATTTTGTTGTGTTGCCATATATCGATCAAAGAAATCCTGTGCCAAGTAAAACGTCTCTCTGTGAAGCTTATAGACTTCACACACCTGAAAAACAGTGAGTAAGTTTCAGAGCAGTTACCTGAGGAAAAGAGAAAGACAAAAACTTGCTATGAGTTTTGGTGAAGGGCGAGATAACCAAATCAAGGAGAACTTTGCTTCTCTGCAGGGATGGTCACCTTGCCTGGCCCCGATCACAGGCACAGGGCAGAACTGGGGCTCAGATGGACAGAGTCAGTGTTCTGTGGGCTGTATCTTAATAAGATCACTGTCCAGAGGCCAGGGGAGAAAGATTTGTTCACAGCATGGTAAACGCAGCATTTTCACGCAAAACTATGAATTTTCTCAAAGAATGATACCCTCTTGTATAAGTTTCATTACGACTCGAGGAAAGAACTAACATATTTCTTCATAATGGGGCAATATCAGTATGAAATTTTGAGAGCTGGAACACACATTTATTTAAAGATTACGACATATCCAAACACTGTTGGCCTGTTCATCACAAGAGGCAAAAGCTGTTTTAAAAAGATTTCACAAAGACTCGGCCGTCAGGTTCCGGCTCAGGCTCTCACTTGGACAAACCCGTTTATCAGATTATCTCCACGTATAAAATGAGGACCCTCCTGCCCTGCCCACCGCACAGGACCGCTGAGGATGGTGAAACAGCGCCCGTGGGAGCGGAAAGGACCAAGGAAACACTGCACCTCTGCACATCACCACCATCGAACGTCTGATTATGCATATGAGACAGCGGTTCCTAAACGGGACATCCACACAAGTGCAATTCATGGAGTGAATGAGCAGAAAAGGTGGAGACACGACAAACAGTGTATTCGTAGAAAATTCCATCAATCACCAAAGAGTATTTCTGAAGTCTAGGTTGACTCGTATTTCCAGCCAGTTTTTATAAATAACACAACTACAATCTGATCAGAAGTGAAACTGGAGCCTCTGTTCTCGAAGGAACACACTCGGGCCTGTTTCACCAGCTCACGGTCGGGCACGCAGATCCTTCTCGCCGACGGACTTCTCGGCTGGACCAGGCCTGAGGAACGAAAGCTCACTGCAGACAAGGCTGCCTGAGAGCTGGGGACTCCAGTCTTGTCCCGCCGAAGACATTAACAGTTACCATTCTTTCCTCTCCTTCCAAAGCTATTACATGACTCCTGATTGACTATCAGAGATAAACGGTCCTTCCGAGTATGCGGCATCAACTGCGCTGATCAAACAGAACCCGAGAGTCTGCAGCTGCTGCTTCAAGGGACTACACAGCGCTCCCCAGGGCGCAGGGGCCAGCGCCGTGCGGGTCTGTGGCGGGCAACTGCAAGGCCGGTAGTTTTAAGCAGGCCTGCCAAAGAATTCAGTACATAAAATGCTGACGTTTTCAGGGGCCGATGAAGAAAAGCAAATTAAAAATGATAAAAACAGCTATCTCTCCTTGCCTACTATGTAAGGTGCACTGCATATACACTATTTCTAATCCACACAAACTCTGCAAGGAAAGTATTGCCAGAAAGTATTACAGATGAGAAAGCCAAGCCTCCACGCTAGGTGACCTGCCTGCCTAAGGCACACAGATGGAAGTGGCCGCAGGGTCTGAGTCTGGGACGGGCAGCAGCAGGGTGCACACACCCCTGTGAATGCAGACCTCCCAATGGTGGCACGCACAGCTGGTTTAAGGGGGTACTCAGACACCCCGCTTCCAGGTGTACTCCTTCCTAAAACGGAGCAGCCTCAGGGGTCTCCATGCCTCAGAAGGAAGCCCCCCACTTCTCCACCGAGAGCTCACAGTGTCCGGAACCTGAGTCACCCCCAGCTCCTCCCAGAAAGAGGCGCACTGCCCTTGCGGCATCACTTTTTGTTGAACCGCTGTCATCCTGGCATGCCACACTTGTGGTTTTGATCAATGCTCGCAGAGAAGTGTGATGACGCGATCGATAAGACTTACACCATATATTTTGCTAGGATAAAATTCTGTGGGGAAAAAGAAATAGACTCCAAGGAGTTAAAGAGGAACAACGTATGATTTCTGACTGTTAAAATAAGCTCGTTCGGCTATTTCTAAAGCTTGTGACAGCGACTGTCAAACAGTTCTCGTTCCACTGGATACATTTAGAAGCAGCCTAATCAACGAAGACCAAATAGCAACTTTTACAGTTACTGCAAAATACAACCTCTGCAACTATCCAAACTGTGATGAAAACAATTAGATGCCAACTTAAAAGTGTCTAAGGGGTAAAGAGATTTCAAAAACTCTTTGAAGGAAGTATGCAAACGAAAAAGTTAGACCACAGGGTCACAGACCAGCTTCAGAGACACAGCGTGTCAGTGGAATCGCACACGGAGATCACAACAGCACCGAAGACGCTAGAAACGGTCGATGCTTCCGGTTAACAGGAAGACCGCTCACCTCCATTAACCAGTCCAGAAGAACTGCTCGCATTTTAGGCTGCAGAAGAGGGTGCCGCTGCAGGAAGTGCTTATCCCTTAAGTACGTCTTTTCCTTGTTTAACATGATTTTCCAAACCTCCTCTCTGTTTGCCCAGCTACAAAAACACAAAACCGAGCGGAAAAGCAAAGACAGGTGTCAGTGTGTGTCCACACTGGGGGAGTGGGCACGGAGCAGGAGATGTAGAGGCGCATGGTGGTGTGTGTCCACACTGGGGGAGTGGGATCAGACCAGGAGACGCAGAGGGCCTGGTGTGCGTCCACACTGGGGGAGCGGGCACGGAGCAGGAGACGCAGAGGGCCTGGTGTGCGTCCACACTGGGGGAGTGGGCACGGAGCAGGAGATGCAGAGGCGCATGGTGTGCGTCCACACTGGGGGAGTGGGCACGGAGCAGGAGACGCAGAGGGCCTGGTGTGCGTCCACACTGGGGGAGCGGGCACGGAGCAGGAGGCGTGGGGCGCACGGCAGCACTCACTTCAGCACAGGCAGTGGCGAGGCTCGAGACGGTGCGATGCTCTGAGGCCCACAGTTGGGGTACACCAGCTCGTCCTCTTCTTTGTCCGGTGTGGGAATCAAGGAGCAGGGGTTTTCACAGACTGCGTTACTGTCCCACGACTGCAGAAGAAAAACATATTTTTAAACGTTTGATGTAAACCAGCTATTTTCAAATGCACTGATTTGTGGAACAGCCCGTAAAACAGGAGAAGTCTTCAGCGTGGACGGTCACCTCTAGGCCTAACGTAAGATGGAGATGCACGGATGAGACAAAGCCGCAGTCCTGACTCCAACTGGCATCTCATTTCTGCCGCCAGCTTAGGAGTCTACGCAGTAAGTACCTAAGAAACTACAAAGCCAGGAGCTTCTCATCTGCCACATCGTTGCTCTCACATGAGGTGCTGAGCAGCAAAACGGACGCAAGAGGCTCGACAAAGCGCAGCAGCTGTTACGTCACCAAAAGAACACAGCCCCACCGGCGGCTCAGTGAGACGGGGCACGGGGACTCCTGAGCTGCACTGTGGCACGACTTGGTCACAATTCAGAGGTTTGTTTTTTAACAAGTACAACTAATCTACTAAAATGTCTTAACAGTAGAAGATAAGATTTCCAATGAAAGTACTTACACAAGCACTCCACACTCACAAGTATAAAAAACTCAAAAATGTAAATTGATTGCCATCTATAATTAAAGTCTCTCCATTTTAAAACGAAAACCCATCAAATGTGACATCGTCCTTTGGTTGCAGGACTAGCCAAATATACTACATAATGGAGACCTTTTGTTTTCCTTAACGCAAGACGATAAAAAGTATCTGCCCAGTTAAAACCAAATCAAGCCATGGTCACCGGTGACACTAAGAAGTCTGTGGACACAGAGCCTGGGCACTCCTGAAGACCTTTGCATCCCGCCCCTTGACGCCTTGCACAGAGTAAGACTCCAATAACTGATAAGTGAACAGACCACCATTAAAAACCAAAACAATATGGTTTTTTTTACTGATTCCAGATACTTAATTTTATTCAATTTTCAATATTTGGAAAATACTAAGGTTATTTTGCCATTTAGATTTTCTTTTTAAAGTTATCATCCTACACTAAAAAGGAGCCTATGCTTGATTTTTACAACATAAAATAGTGACTTTGCTGAAGGTTTGGCAGGTGACAATGCCCCCAGCGTGGGGGTCCTGTGAAAGTCCCCGCGTCTTGGCATTTGTTAAGAGCAGAGAGATCACTCATGCTGACTAGAGAAGCAAGGAGACCACCGAGATGTCTATGATCGGACATGGAGACTGGGACGGCGCACGACCTGGAAGATCTGGCACGGGGTGGCTGTCCCGGCACGGGGTGGCTGTCCCGGCACGCGGCCACTTTCAGAGGCAGCCAGAGCACTGTCAGCGTCCTGAGAAGAGCTCTCCTCCATCAACGTGCAAAGAACTGGCATGCAAATTAACCACGACAGCCGACAGCCGTTCCAGAAGGGCCACCTCCTCTTCTAGTCCTAGTAACACGTGCTGGTAGCATTTCCTTGACCCAAAAAGGGTCACATTACAAAAGTGGCTCTTCATTCAAGAACGAATTCTCGTTTTGAAAGCAGAAGTTGGTGCCACCCTCTACAGCCAGATGACCGAAATAGCTGAGCACACCTTTGCAGACAAACTGGGAGCCGTTCCCAGCACAGTTCCCAGACAAACCAGGTAGACCACGAGCAGACAGACGGTCCCTAAGGTTGACCTTTTTAGGAACCAGTGTATGAAGCAGAATAATGACGTCCATGGCCTTCAACTTGAGTGTAAACCATGTTTCAAAGGAGGCAAGATCAGTGTGCCTTTAGGAAGGAATGGGATAACAGCAAGAGACCAATTTTGACCACTTCTAACCACCCCGACTCCTTATGCCGCTTTTAATTAAGAATAGAAGTAGCTTAGGCAACACTACGTTCCGAGAAGGAACTAACAGAAAGTCCAGGGTTCCACTTCAACGAAAAAGTTGGGTCTCATGCAAAAAGTTAAACAGCAAAATGCCTACGTTAAATGGGCTTTAGGTAAAAGGGTATTTTTTCATTAAGGAAGGCCTGACGCAAGAACCATGGAAGGTTCCGTGTGGTCTTGATGAAGCAGTGAACATGGAGTTTGGCATGACGGCTACAAGTAGCTCAAGGCTGGCGAACTCGGCTGAACCACAACAACTCCAGAGAAAAATTCTGTGTAATTAATAGGTAAAACTGCTCTGTTATTCCAAAATTCTAGTTTCATGAGTATACACAGAGAAATAACAAAAGACACTGCTCTATAAATGGATGGATAATTTTCAAGCTATTTACTCTACAAAATGTGTGGAAACCGCTGTCATGAATCTCTGGACGGCCATGAAAACGCCTTCTAGAGGGGAACGATATGGCTCCTCCTGTGTCACAGCTCTCCACTCTCTGCAGTCGGGGACGGGGCCCCGGCCCTGTGTCAGGTCATCCCTGAGAACAGAAACGACTCTAGAACTCCAAGAAATCAACATGGGTGGCTTTGCTTGATCCTCAGTTAGGAATTTCAAGTCAAAGCACATTGGGAAAGTACACAATCTTGAACTTCAGAGGAGAGATCCATTTTACAAAACCCACAAAAATCAACTTGCTGGGCTTGAAGTTTTTTGGTGTTTTTTTTTTTTTAAGGGGAGAAAAAGAAAAAAAGAAGAAAAGGCCTTGGGATGCACTTATTTCCATACCTAGACTGAAAGATATCTTCTTCTAATGAAGGAGAGTCATCAACCCCTTGTTCAACATTCAGTGGAACCTCCCCAGAAATGCCAATTACTAAGGTCTTATGTGCAGTGACAACTGTTAATGAAACTATGTGGCCCACTGCTCTCAAGCCATTCACTCTCCCAGACGCAGCTGCTAAGGCTGTTGCCCAGCATCCTGCAAAGCGATGTGCTGCCCACCGCTACCCTAGGAGGGACCACTGCCCTCGGCTCCAACACTCCTCCTGCTCAGCTTTCATCTGCGGTGGGGTCAGAGGGCCTGATCAGCCAGCTTGGAGATAAGCTGCTTCCCCTACTAGAGCCATAACTACAGTCTCCAGCCATTTCTGGAGGTAGAGAGATAATACAAGCTTTTTCTGCCAGGAACGTCTGATATTATAATGATATCGTGAGCATGCAAGAAATTTGGCGGGAACTCCATGAAGGAGGAGCAGCAGAAATGGTCTAGTCAACAAAAAAATGCGTTGAGACTCACATAGCATCACACACAACGTTCCACTAATACTCTGGGTGAGGCCCGCTCGAGCCCCAGACAGCGCTGATCACTGTAGGTAATTTCTGGATGGGCTGGAAGAATTTCCAGAAATGGGGAAAAAGTTTGAAACCTGACCTAAAGCAGGTGGGAAGGTGAAGAGAGGTCTTTAAGCCCCATGAGAAACCCAGGTGTGAATGGGGGAGAACACACAGACTCAGATCACCAGTCACCCACAGAGCTGTGTCAGGGCCCTCCCCGGGTCACCGCGGCAAAGCAGGAAGGACCCCGCCCGGCCTGCAGAGGACGCTGGGTTACCTTCCTCTCACTGAGGCTGTTTCCTCAAGGGCAAAAGGAGATGACTGAGTTATGTGATGTCCATTCTGGTTCTTCCAGACATCAGCACATATTTGTAATCTCAGGGGTGCCAGTCAAGAATACAAGACCTTTCTGGAATGCCAAGGCTGGCAGACAGCAGGGGTCAGCGCCCACCGACAGGCAGTGCTCAGCCATATGGACTGTGGCCACAGTTAGAGACAAGGCCTTCAGCAGGAGGCAAGCGGACTCCAGGACCAGGCAAGGGGACCTACCTGACGGCCGCACTGGCTCCTCACGGTCTTGTCCATTTTGGCAATTTCTTCATCCGGATCCTGCAAAAACTATCAGCCGACGACCCCACGCCCCAAGGAAACACCCCATACAGCCCAAAGACAGGCACAGAGAGAGAGAAGGAGAAGCGTCGTTAGACTTTGGGCACCGTTTCTGCCAAACCGCCCTCCTCAGCCCCCATCAACAAACACGTGGGCAGAGCCAGCCAGGCACCCAGGTAAGACGGGGGCTCTCCCCACCCGCCCCCTTTGTACTCACCACGGCCACATTTGCCTTTCTTTTCCTGGAGCGAACAGAGACATCCGCGCTGCTGTCCTCCTTCATGCCGTCCCGCTCCTGGGCATCCCTGCAGAGCCAGGGTGCCACCGAGCTCAGGGGGGCCCCCGGCCTCGGCCCGCCCCTCCCCCCGCCGCACCCCAGCGGCCGGCCACTCACCTCTCCCTCCTCTCCCTCGGCATGGCGCGGGGCGCGGGGGCAGACCTCGGGCCTGGGGCACGGAGCGGGCAGCGGCGTGAGCGGCCGGCGGGGCCGGGCCCGCGGCCGCCCAGGACACCCCTCCCCCTCCCGCGCGGGCGGCGGCGGCGGCGGCGGCGGCGGCGGCGGCGGGAGCCTCCCGGCCGCTCGGGAAAATGGCCGATGAGCCCGGGTGGCCTGTCACCCGCGGCGCCGCCGGCAGCCCGCGATGCCGGGTCCCAACCCGGGCCGGGGCCCGCACGCCCCCCGAGAGCCCCGCCGGCCCATCGCCTCCCTCGGGGCCGGCGGCCCCCATCCGCCCCTCCACCCCTCCCCCGGCCCGTCCCCGCGCCGCCGGGCCGGGCACCCCGCGCTGACGCCCGGGACCCGACGACCGGCCTCGCCCCACCCCCACCCGGCGGCCCGGCGGCCCGGCGCCCGGGAGCCGTCGCCGCCGCACCCGCGCCCGGCGGCCCTCACCGAAGCCTCTGCGCGGCAGGTAGGCGGCACGCGCCGGCGGCCGGGCGGGAAGCGGTAGGCGCGCGCGGATCCGCGCCTGCCCCCTACACCGCGCGGGCGGCCGAGCCGGCTGCTCCTGCGCCCGGCCGAGAGCGGGACATTTAAAACTCCTGCGCGCGGAACCGGCCCGGCCCGCCCTCGCGCCCTCCCGCCACCCTCCGCCCCGCCCCGCCTGCGGCCGCGAGCCCGCCCCGCACCGCCCCGGCCCGCCCCGCCGCGCAGGCCAGCCGGGGCGCTCGGCCGCGGGGGCGGGGCCGGGGGCGGGGAATGGGCGGGGCCCTGGGCGGTGTGGGCGGGGCCAGGCGGGGCCGGCGGGGCGGGGCGGGGCCAGGAGGGGCCCGGGCGGCGGGACGGGGCCTGCGCACCCGCGGGGCGGGGCTGGGCGGCCTGGCGCGCGCGGCCGGGGGCGGGGTCGGCGGCGCTGGAGCGGGGGAAAGCCGCGTGGCCTGCGCCGGGGGAATGTAAACACTGCGGGCGGCGAGGGTCCGCGCCCCTTGGAGTCCGCCGGGGCAGGGCTGCGGGCCGGCCCGGGACCCGCCGGCTGGCGGCCTGCCGCGCGCGCTTCCCTCCATGCGCGTCCTCCCTCCCCCGGGACGCAGGGTTCCGGGCCCTGAGTCGGGGCGGGGATGCGCCCAAGGTCACGGCGCCTGGCTGCTGGGCCTGGAACCAGGGCCTCTGGCCGCGGGGCCTGGGGCCCCCTGTGCAACAGCTGTTATTCCAGGGCGCACGTGCGTGCGTGGACCCAGGCGGGCGCGTACTCATTCAGTTAATCATCGGGCGCCTTCCGCGTGTGCCCCTCCCCCGCAAGCTGCCCTGAACGCAGAAGCCCTTCCTGACGCTGGGGTTCCCCGCCGGCCTCTAGCTGACAGCGGGTTTCCGCCAGCCTCGGTCAAATCCACGCTCGCTGCGCTGGCCCACAGGGCTCCGCAGGAACTGGCCCTCACCCCCTCTCAGACCTCCCCTTCCACCCCCTCCCGCACAGCCCCTCCCCCACGCCCTGTCCTGTCTCACCGTAGGGCCTTGGAGTTTGCTGTCACCTGCTGTGACCCCCTTGGGCTACGCGTCCCTCCCGTCGAGGTCTTCAGTGACCACGTAACCTCCCCAGAGGTTCCTCTCCACCTTGTTGCGCTGCTGTGCCTCCTTCCCAGCACTTGTCACCATAGGTCTCTTGTTCCTCCTTCATTTCCTTGCCTGGTGTCCCTCTCTCTCCTTGTCAGTCTTATTCACTACTGTATCCCCTGGCTCTTGGCATAGTGCCTGGAGGAAGGGAGACGCTTAAATCGGATTTGTGAATGAATGCTTGAAAAACAGACGCTGACGAAACCCTCGTGGAGCTGATGGGCTAGTGAGAGAAAGGGGTATGAAACAGCAGTCACTTGAGAGCACCTCTGTACTCCACTTCTAGAGGAAACACGTAGCAGAGGGCTCCTGAACACTGCTAAGGCCCTTCCTGGGTTACGGTCTCAGTCTTGCCCTGCCCCCGCCCCCCCATGACTGTCTTCTTGAAGTCAGAGCCTGGGTTTTACTGAAGAGTGTGACCTTGTGTTGTCCCCACAAGGTCCCTGCTTGCAGACGGTTGACCTTCCAGGGACTGCGGTCAAGGCTGCTGAGACGACTTGCTGAGGTTGGCTTGGACAGGCGTGGAGCCCAGACTCCAGAACTCCCAGCCCTGTGCCCGTTAGTAATAACAATAACAGGTGTCATAAACACCATTTCCAAAATGGCAGCTCTGGGCTAAATCCTTCAAAGTGTTACCTCACTTAGCCTTCACAGTAACCCTAGGATGTTGAGCACGATTGTGCTGTTTCACGGATGGCAGCGATCGCCTTCCGAGGATTATTGTGAGGGTTAAGGGAGATAACACAGACGAATCACTTAGTACAGTGTCTGGCTCATAGAAAATGCTCCATAAAGGAGTTAGAACAATGATAGACAAGACAGAGTTTTCCTTGGTGATTGTAGCAATTTATACTCCCGCCAGCAAAGAGGGAGAGTTCTAGATGTTCCATACGCTAGCTGGCGTGTTCATCAATAGTATAACGGAGAGACAAATTTTGGTATGTTCATTCAGTGGGATACTACACAACAAGAAAAAGGACAAACCGGTGAAACCTGTGGCAGCAGGAATGAATCTCACGTGATGGCGAGTGCAAGAAGCCAGACACAAAAGACTATTACTGTGCGGTTCCACTTATTTGAAGTTTAAGAAAAGGCAAGACTAGGGTGACAGCGGCTGGAACAGTAGTTACCTCTGGGGTGGGGCAATGACTGGGAGGGACCGAGGGAACTCTGCGTCCTACACTTGTTCTGTATCTTGATCTCAGTGGTGGTGATGTGGCTGTGTACATCCACAAGAATTCATCGAGCTATACACTCACTATTTGTGCACTTTACTGGATGTTATACTTCAGTAAAAAATGAAAGAATTATTTTTTGAAAAAATAATTCGAAACAAAGTAAAGCAAGACGTAATCCCTGCCCATTGGGGAGCTCCCGGTCTGGAAGGGGAGCGGTCATGTAGACGGCAGTGGCAGCACGGAGTGAGAATGGCTAGGATGGGAAAATTCTGGGGGCTATGACTTCACATGGAGCTCAGGAGAGGGGGCATCCAGCCTGCTCCTATATGCCAAGAAGGCTGCATGGAGGAAGCAGCATCTAGGCAGGAAGGATGAATGAGTTTGGCAGAGGCAATAGAAAAGATATGTGCAAGGCAGTGGAAACAGCCTGTACAAAGGCTTGGAGTCTTCAGAAGTTACTGAGGGCCACTCATCTGGCGCAGCTCACCCTTGGCTGTTTGGCTGCATTTCGTTCTGTGACTGCATCAGGCTCAGAGAGTCCGAGCATTGGCTCAGCCTTAAGGGAGACTACGGATTGGACTAGAGGTGGTAAGCCGGCCGCTGTGTAGGGAGGGCAGCGCCTGCCTCTCGGTGCTTCGATGTTCTCATCTGTAAAGTGGGTGATTCTAATTATTCCAACCTCCAGAGTGCCATTAGGAGTAAATGTATTAATACCCATAATGCATTTGCAACAGTGTTTAGCACATAGTGCTCAATATGTATTAAGAATTATCATTATCTATAAAGAAATTTAGGGTCATTTGCTTAGCTTCGTGTGTGGTTCAGGCCCTGATGATGGTGCAGGAGTGAGGGCAGGAGCCAGCTACAAGGGTTAAGGAGAAGTAAGTGCACAGGGGTTAGCAGGGGGAAGTCCTTCCCAGATAGGCTTCCTTACCCTGGGCCCCCAGACAGCCTTCAGGGCCCAGGAAATGCCCACTGACAGTGCTGGCCCCTCGTGTGTGCTTTTCTGGGTGGCTGGTGCAGAGCTTTGACCAGCTCCCTAAAGGCACCTAACAGAAAGCTAAGCAGCGCTGCTGTGGAGGGGGTTCTCTGGGGAAGGCGTGGGCTATGGCTGGGAGTGGAGCCCGCCAAAGCTTTGCTGTCAGGCAGAGCTGGACAACTGTGGCTGCCTGGCTGAGCCAAAGGAGGGGGCTCTGGTGATTACCAGAAGAGGAGAGCCAAACTGGCTCACCAGTGTGAGTGTGGGGTGGGGGCCAGGCAGCACGAGCAGGATCCCGTGCCCAGGAACTCGCATGTGGGAAGGCCCCAGGGGCCTGATTCCAGTCCTCCCTCAGCCCTGGAAATCTGTCTGCACAGGCCTGCCCGGCCAGCTGGATTCCAGGGCCCCCGTGCCTGCTCCCCACAGCTCAGTCACCATTCAGCTCAAGCTCACGCTGCCATGGAGCCCGAGGGGGCGACCAGCAGACCAGTGCGCGGACCCAAACTTGGCCTAGCCCTCCTGCACTGAGGAGAAAGTCCCGTCGACACTTCTCTACACAGAAGGCTCTGATCAGTTAAGAAACCCCAGTGAAAATTAACATTGACCTTTAAACTTAGTATATGATAGAGCAATGATGGCGGCTAACATTTATGGATTCTGCGCTAAACTCAGGGCTGCCAGGAACAGAGAATAATTTGAAGACACCTCAAGGAGGGGGCTGTGACCAGGCTGGGGGTGGGGAGGCAGCTATGTAGCAACAAGCTACTCCCACAGCACAGCCGACTGCCCGGCCGTATCCTCAGGTTTCACTCAAATCTCCTCATTTGGGTTTTCTGAAGATAGGAGCGGGGCCTCACAGGGAGGAGGCCCAGCACCTCCCTTCTGGTCAGGGACTCACACTCTCCTTGAAGTACTGCCCTCTGCCCTTTGATGGGGACGTGGCTTGTCCAATCAAAGCATCATATTCCTGACCGTGTGATTGGCTCAGGGGTAGGCACATGACCCAAGCTGGGCCAGTGAAAATCCTCCGGAGTTGCTAGGCTGACTGGAAGAAGGCTTGGAACCAGGAGGCCATCTTGCCACTCAGGGTGACCTTCCTTAGAGGGCCGTCCTTGGGAGGAGGGGGGATGCAAAGCCAGAGGCCAGGGGAGGCAGGCTTCTGATTCGTTGAGCTCCTGGAACCAATGAAGCCCCAGACCGAAGTCTAGGAACTTTCTGGATGATGGAGCCAATAATTATTTTCACGTATTTATTTAGCCAGTTGGGGTTGGGTTTCTCATAACTTGCAACCAAGAAAGTCGTGGATGTCACGGGTGAGTGACAGGGTGATAAACTGTCATAGCTCATCCGTTCGTGCCACCAGAGAGCCTCCCAGTGGCCTTCTCTATAGGGTCTGTAAATCCACACTGGCATGGCTGGCGGCACATCGTTCTGGGGTGCCCGGCTTAGGTCACTGTCTCAGTTCCCCAGGAATCCTGACATCCCTGGCGACATCCCTCAGTCACTCAGTTCCCCCAGGCACTCTTACTGGGCCTGGCAGCCTCAGGAGCTCCTGCGTGCCCGCGCCCAGGCAAATGCTGGTGGGCCTGGGTGGACTGGCTCGACCCTGCCCACCAGGAGCTCCTAAGAACACCTCACACCCTCTGGGGGCAAGTGGACACTACCTGAGCAGAACTCCCCCCAGACGTGACTGGATGGAGGTCACAAACTCATGCCCGTGGCCCAGAGAATATTACCAAGAAATTGAATTCTTGTTCACATAAGGGATTCCAACTCGTTGAGCAATGGGATGATTTGGCAAAGTCAGGCCCACATCTGTGCAGGGCAACAGCAGGCAGCT